TGACAGCAAAGTTCGACAGTAAACACTATAGCTCAGTGAACACTCGCATTGGTCCCAATAATTTTAGCTAACAAAAGTTCAGGAGTACTTTCGTAAAAGAAAGGGCGGACTTTTATCGGGACCATAATATTAATTATATTTATTACTAATGAAATTACATCCGTTGATTTCCCCCAAAAACGACACTTACATCGGATAAACTTAGGTTTATGATATCCTGCATCAGGTGAAATACATCATGTGGTTTTAAACTGTACATCTACGTAAATAACTACCTAATAAGTATACATACATATAGGTGTGTGTTATTATGTGTAGATCAACAATGTAAGACTATATGATGTGTTTCACTAGGTATAGGTTCTATACAGAACCAATAAACTTCATCTCGTGATTCGGCATTCATTTCCATGTTGTGATTCAAGTCAGCAATTCGCGAGACCAATCAAAAAGAGAAGAAAAATATAGGACTTTTTCTACAACTTGGGAAGTTATATGCTACACTGGGTTATTTACATGCATCAGCTATTTGTTAATTGTAAATGAGGTTAAATAATAATCACTAAGCACGCGTACACAGAGGTGGGTAGGGATGACAGTATAACCCGCCCCACCCCGCCCCGGATTTACCCGGTAATCCCCACCACGTTTGCTAATAGAGCAAGTATTGATTTTAAAAATTTCACCCGTAGTGAATACATGATGGGTATAGGTTTTGAACATATGCACCCTTACCCGCCCCGTATCCATCCCGTTTATATATTTTATATATTTTTTATATTATAAAATACTAATCTTTACAGATATTTTAATTAAATAAATTATTAATTTAAAAAATTATATTTTCTTACGGGCCAGGGCCGGGCCGGGTATGGGGCGTTATATGGTCCGGGGCCCGTTTAATAAAATAAAAAATTAAATGTTTGTTAACGATGCTTATCCTAAATCTAGGTCATCCAGGTTAAATTCAAAGCGGCGAAGAAGAAGAAGAAGAAATAAGAAAAGAAACACAAAAAATGGGAACACGAATCGAACGACGAATCTCGCGCCATCTTCCGGAAGAAATAATCGAAGAAATATTACACAGCTTGCCATCCAAATCCCTTTTGAGATTCAAGTGCGTTTCGAAACGATGGTGTTCCTTCATCTCCAGCAAACAATTCATCAAACGCCACCTCAAGAAATCGAAAATCGATACAGATCGCACAAATCGAAGCCTAGTGTCAAGCTTCCGTCGATCACCGGACATCGTCGGATTCATGTCTTTATTCCGCGGTCCGAACACCACACTCGACCCGCGTTATCTCCAGTCGTTACTCGATGATGACATCATCGCAACTCTCGACAGCAATCATTGTTGCATGGGAGATTCGACGTACGATGTTCGTATCTTGGGATCATGCAACGGGCTAGTACTCATGAACATCGAGAATTATCACTATTTATTTCTATGGAACCCTTGTACTAGAGAGATCAAGAAAATTCGGTGCACGCGTCCCGCTTTCAAAAAAGTATACGGTTTGGGGTACGACGAGTACGCAGACGATTACAAGGTTGTCTGCATTTTCTTCTCCACTCGGAGGACAACCTCTCAGACGGAGGTTTATAGTTTGAAAGCCGATTCTTGGAAGAAAATCGAGCATTTCGACAAGGGTTCTAATTATCCCCCGATGTGCGAATCGGGCAAGCTTGTGAACGGAAGATTGCATTGGCTTATGGGACACGATGATAACGATCTTGTTATAATTTCTCTTGATTTAGTGGAGGAGAAATATGAAATTGTGGCTGGGCCGAAAAATACGGAAAATATTTGTTTTGGATCGGTTCTGAATAATTTGGGAGGATACCTATGTTTAATTACTACTTCTAGTGTTACAGGTCATCAAAGTGTTTGGGTTATGATCGAGTATGGTCAGACGGAATCTTGGACTAAGATTTGGACATGTTCGAATTCTGATGATGCAATGAAGATGTGGCCTTTGCCTAATGACGGAATTTATAACGGAAAAAATGTGTGGTGTAAATATGTGTGGTGTGCACGCTTAGTTTATATGGTTGATGCTACAACTGAGCCCATTTGCTATGTTGAAAGTTTAGTTTCACCATTTGGCGACAAATAGAAGGATAGTTATTGGTTCATCAATTCTTCTTCTGGTGTCACGAACCCAAGACCTATTAGCAAGGAACTTTGCGCGCCTATACGATCTTCGTATGGAAAGGAATTGGTGTCGGTCTAGAATTTTTTTTTTTCCTTTTTTTTTCATGTTTTCAATGGTATCAATTCATAGTCCATAAGAAGATATTTATACTTTTATCTTTTCCACTCATGTTTTAGATATTGGTTGAGTAGTTTGGAAGTATGTGTTATTGTGTGTTCATTAATTCTTTTCTTTATCATTCTTGTTGCCTTAGCTTCAAAGTGTTAAATTATTAAAACAGGCAGGACCGAATGTTTTTTTTTTTGTGAACATGGGGGATCAAATGTAGAATCAATGCAAACTCGAGGGATGAAAATTTTAATTTTCCCAAAAACAAATCTACTGAGTGTGTTTGAATAACACTTTTGTTTTCCAGTTTGCAAATTAAAAAGGAAAAATGAATTCCAGTTCAGTATATATTTCAATACACCTTTATGTGATCAATATCATAACCTCAATTAGAGGCACTTTAATTATTTGTATCTTAAACTAATTTAAAAAATACTTAATATATATAAAGATTAGTGTTAAGCCTAATCTGCTATATATAAAAGGTGAAACTAAAATTAAACTAAAAACTCAACCACATCAAAATTAATAAGAAACACATATAATAAAAGAAAATATACACTTAGTCTTATTTTAAATACCACAAAAATCAAACCATCATGTAAGCCATAGATATGCATGTAGTCCTCCTCTATAGAGACAATCTTAAAAACTCCAATACCTTATTACATGTTATATATATCGTGAATTATCGTCGGCTAAATAAGGGGAACAATCTTTCTTGCAACGAACTATGATGATAAATCATGAACATAAGAAAAACGAGCAAAAGCGCCACTCCGAAAGGGGACCCACCGACCCTATGTAGCGAATCCTTCTCGGGCAAGCTCATGGCGAAAGGGAAGCTCCTGTCACGGTCATCGGCCGCTAGCCAGTGGACTATAAGTAGAAGAAGTACCGGAAACACCATTAGGCTTAGCTTGAGTTGATCCATCAAGTCCATAAACGCGTAATCGTAGTTTATGTACCAAGTGAAGATCAAGAAGATGGATATTACGGCTAAGAAGAACACGAAGTGGATTGGTAGTGAGAGGTATTGTAGGTATTCATGGTATGATGAATTGTAGTATCTAGCCATTTTTTTTTTTTTTTTTATTTAGGAGTTATTGAGAGCTTGAGAATTAATGAGAGTATAGCAAGAAAATGAGGTATTATTTATAGGAGTTTGATTTTTGTTTTTAATTTTGTTTTTTAGAGTAAAAAAAGGAGGAAAGTAGGGCTATTGGAATTATTCTTGGATATATTGTATGCTTTAATATGAAAAAGTTAAAGGTATATATATCACAAGTGTATGTATTTATTCTTTATGTATAATGGGTTTGAATCTCTTTATTTGGACTCCATGATTTGAATTTAAGAGTTTTAAATTTACAGTGACAAATTTATTGAAATTGTTTGAATGAATTTGATTTCATAATAAATTTGAAATCTGAACATTATCCCATATAGATTTCATTTAAAATCTCTCTACATCCAAAATCACCAAACTAAATGCAACCGAGAAATTGAGTTTTTGTCTCCTATTCCGATTTCCTCAGAGCTTTCGGTCGTACAGTCGAGATAGCGACGAGTTCCCTGCCCCTACGGGGATAGAGCGACGAAAGTTTTGAGAATTCACGAGAAGATCACAGCGAGACGAGCCGTTTATCATTACAATAGATGTCAAGTGCAGTGATGTATCTAACATATCGGTAGTCTTGAACCTTGTTCCTACATGACCTGATTAATTTGATCAGGCATTCGCCTGTCTATTTCCATTGTTCAAATCTTTGACAACACGAAAAAACTCCCTTTCAATCAAGAATTGGACCTTGCAATCTCTATAACTTCAATTATTAAATATTTACATATAAAGTTACAATTTTAATAAGAAGTAACGTGTCACGTGACACCGACCATATATGTCAACATTATTGAGGCTGAAAAGAATATTATTGTATATAGAAAAGTTTTGAGTATTGTGAGAGCAAAGTGGAATATTATCATTTTTCAACTTTGCAAGAAACCTTTATTCTTATTATTTTTGTCTTCTCATGACTTTTACTAATAGAGAACATATCCAAAGTAATTTTGGGTATATGAACTAGGAAGTGATTTAACTTTTGTTACAAATTAATTCCCACTTAATATAAACTCATTTTCCAGCATGGCTATTGATTTAATAATTAATTTCAAACTAGTTTACAATTTGTTTGATTAGATGAAGTATTGAGTATTGGATAGTGAATGTGAACGAAATTTGAATGACTAATAGCAGTATTTGATAATTGAATGTTGAACAAATAAGTTTTGTTTGATAACTGAAAACGAATTTATTTGTTTAGTCTAATAATTATTAGAAAACTCCACGTTTTATTTTATATTAGCAAAAGTTCTCCTCTGATTCTATTTTTTATTAAACTATCCTCAAAAAACTCAGTCATTTATAAAAGTACATACATGCTTAGACAAATGGGTAAATTACAACCACCACACTCAAGTAATTAAGAAAAAAAAAAAACCCCCTCAATTTTCAAAAACTACATCCAGCTCCTTTAGTTTATAAATTTCTTACATCCACCCCCTACAAAAGAGTGTTAATGTAAGAACTTTACAAATTACATGGGGTGGATATAGTTACGGAAACATGAGGATTTTTTCGTAAATATACTTCAAATTGGATGTTATTTACCTTAAAAAATTGCATCATAGAGCGGGGGGTTATGTGTGTGTGTGATACTTGGAATCTTGTACTTATAAATTTATAATATGAGAATTCTTTTTAGCAGTTCAATATAACATAGGTACGAAATACAATAAATTCCACCACATAATTACTATATAGAGAGCTGAAAATTCTCAAAAAAAAATAAAAATCAATAATGCATGACATAAACATTGTACTCGACAGTGGCATCTCCATTCTTGGTATCAAACTTGATAGTTCGGGCCTCAGCGTAACCCCTTCCAAATCGGAAAAGCCCGCTTCCGCCGACAACGGGCATCTCTCTCACCTTGTCCAAAACGGCGTTTCTCCCCAAAACGGAGATCGTGCTCCCGTTATACTTTCCACGTGTGAAAACGAAGTTCATCGTCATCAACAGCCCAGTCTCTTCCTGCGACGCCAGCGCGTAAAGCCCTTGCGCCTTTCCGACAGCCTCGGATCTCAGGTCGGGCCCTAGGGTCAGCGGGTTGTCGATCACGTTGATAGCCCCGAACCTGTTCGCGTATCGGGCGGGCGGATTCACGACCGTTACCGATGTCGGGTTGCGGCCGCTGACGACGTCGTGCCAGTACATGCGGAGATGGCTGAGTTTTTCCTTGGTCATCGGCGTTCGTTTGTGCTGGGCTGGTTTGCCGGCGGTCTGGTGAAGGAACGCAACAAGGACGACGGAGATTACGACAAAAATACAAGAGAATGAACAATGTGAATGAATTGTTGCCATTGTTTTTTTTTTTTCTTTTTTTGTAAGTGCAGAAATTTTGTGTGAGGTGCTAAGTGTATATGTAGTGGGCAGAAAGGGAGAGGGGTACTTGAGATGTTGAGGTTGGTTTGAGAACTCAGAAGCAACAAACACACACTACTGACACACACATCCGTGTGGGTGTGTGGGTGTGTGTTTGTGATTATGTAGTGAGTTAGGTGTTGAATAAGTATGTTGTGTCTTTTTTGGCAGAATTTGAAAAAAAGCAATGTAGTGTTTGTTGGTATCTAATTGAGGGTGTTTGTTTTTTGTAGCAATCAAATTATATTTTGAATTATTTGAATTTTTTTATTTATATACTATATATAAAAACACATCCATCGAGTCGAGTTTCGAATTGAAGATTCGAGACCTAACTCAATTGTTTTCACAATACTCGACATAATCTTGTAGAAATTGCACCTGGTAAAATACACTAAGTATACGTAAAACATGTACTATAGATACATACACATAAACGATGGAATATTCCGTCCAGTCGAATTGGGACGGAGTTGAAACAAAACTGAACACATAATCGTCGTACGACTAGCTATATGAATTAGTTGTCCAAAGTGCCCAGAAAAAAAAAAAACAACGCATGGAAAAAAGTGATGCACATGCATATGATGAAAAATAAATAATCATTGGAGCACATGTTGATTATTTGATTCTACGTTTTCGAATAATCATACCTACTTGTAATGTAGATTAACTTCATAACAAGTGGAAGAAACTGCATTTTGATACGACTAAACTAACCTCGACATTTCGACCCCAATTCCAAACCTGCAAATTAGATTAACCAGTCTTGTCCACGATAAAAACGATAAGCCCGGGAGATCATCAATCACAAAATAGTTTGAAACCAAAATATACGAGACTTTTTCATGTAGTCTTGACCAAAATTACTAAGAGATAATCTTGGAAAATTATCTTAACAAAGTTAAGACTATCATAAATCAACAACTTAAGTAAATTAAAAAAATTATCGCTTCTTTCTTCCACCCTTTCCAGATTTGGAAGGACCGGCTGCTGAGGAGGATGAAGAAGCCTCTTGCTTCTTAGCAGCCTCTTGCTTCTTAGTTCGACCCGGATGTCGAGGGACCAACTCCGCAACTTGATTCATAAGTTGTTTTCCTGCATTATTTTTTATTAATATAAAATCTTATATACAATACACACAAATAAAAAAAGAAAATACAGGGTCTGGCTCGAGCTCGTACGTTTAGTTCGAACTGGTGCTTTTGACGCTCGTGTTCGACTAATTTACATCCCAAATTTCATTTCAAGAAGGTCAACGAGACTAAATATGAGGCTCAAAGGATAATTCAGTTAGCTAAAGAAGAATTATGTGGTACATGAACAAGAACCTATTTAGTTCTTTAACATAAGTTTTATTATGAATAAATCCATGATCCTTTATTAGGGGAAAATGCAGATAGAGTTGTTATTCGTCATTTAAAGTAGTACACAATGATCAATGACATTTATAAAAAAAACACACATAAATTGTCACTTCAATCAACAGCTAAATGGGGTTAAACGACAACAAATTCTGTTGAAAACAAGATGCTAGATGAGAATAAAACGAAGAGCAGCAGAAACGTCTTCAAGCTATATTTTAATTCAAGCAAAAAAATTAACATTTTCACCTTGTTTACCTCTTATCTCACCCACCTCAAAATTCACATATAGAATATGTTTGTGTTTCCCTTTTATCCCACAAACCTCAAGATTCAACTAGAAAATATTCGAGGAGAGATGACAAATCATTTCAAAGATATCCGTTTCAATGTCTTTCTGTGATATTGTCTTAGATGCTTTTTTTCTCTTCTTCTGCACTATACAATAAAAATATTGCACTAATTAAAAAACTCTGTATTCAGATTTGCCTTTTATCATCAGAATAAAACGAGGGCTAAACCCACCAAGACTGCGAAAACCAATCACCTAATGAGATCGAAGATGTCAAAAATATAACAAAACCCATCTCACGAGACTCTGATTTTGCCATGAAAGATACAGTTTTGCTCAGCATCTGATCTTTTGCTTAAAAATCATCACAGCCTTACATATTAGGGCTTGAATTCAGGGAATAACAGATTTACAGAGAGGAATGAATTGCTCTAACATCGTCACTTCAATCATCTTATCACAAGGGCTGTTGATTATTTGAAGTAAAAGGTTGAAGGATGGGGGGTTATGTTATCTTACGAAAAATCTGCAATTAAATCTGAATTTCCCCCTTCGTAATTAAGTATTATAAGTAAATCATCTTGAATGACAGCATAACTAGCACAGCCCTAATTATTTTTTGGCACCGGTCGAAACATGGAGGTAAGATACATTCTTCAACTTTGTCAAAATTCAATCTAAACTTACGTAATATTGCCAATTACAATTCGGTAAATCGAGCATACTTTACAACCATGCTAGAAATTCCATCATTGACATTGCCCATCGAATTCAAAATCACAGAAAACTACTGAAATTAAAGCATAAAAACTTGATTAACAAATAAAATAAAACAAAAGACGAATACTTACTCGACGAAACAGCCGGGTTGCAGAGAGTCCCATCTTCCCTTTTCAACATAACCCTAACTCTCCCTATTTGCATAAAATCCCTAGGGTACGCCTTCTCCCTCTAATTCACATCACCAATCAAACAAAACCCCAATCCAAATAAATCAGTTAATTTTCTCACATCCCCAAATGAAAATCACATACTCCAATTTTGAAAATTGAATTGGATGGACAGTAAATAAAATCAAACAAAACCCAATCCAAATAAATCAGTTAATTTTTCACATCCCCAAATTCAAAAATAACATACTCCAATTTTGAAAATTGAATTGGATCGACAGTAAATAAAATCAAACAAAAAACACACACCTCGATCGCGCAAGGGAGTTTAAGGTGGTTGCAGCAATCGTAAATCTCGGCGCAGGTAGGGTTTTCGCACGCTTTGGCGGCGTTGATTCTTCGCCCCTCCGCCAAGGTTTTCTTCGAATTTATGTAAATTGGGTAGAACACTACCCATTTTTTTATATTCTGCACATCCGCATCCATGATTTTGCCCTAGAAAAAAAAAATGAATGTAGAAATTAAACACAGCGTTCAACAGAATTTTCTCTCAGAATTTGCTCTGAAGAACAAAGTAATGAAAAAAAAATACCCTGTAACAGTTGACTGCGAAGAAGAAAACACGAGGAATTGTATCGTAGGAATTAAATGGGCTCACGAAGTATTAAATTGGGCCCGAATTCAGCTACTAGTCCAGCTAATTTGAAGCCCGTAATCTTAAATATATAAATAATAAATAATTAATAATTAATAAAAGGTAAATTATGAAAACCCCCTAAACTTAGGCTAAATAACAAAAAAAACGCCCCCACATATTCTTAATTACCAAAAACCACCTGAGGTTTGTTTCAGTCTTACATCAACCCCTTACAGCGTGACTTTTCATTGATTTTTTTTATTCCAGGGAATAAACTCAATTTCAGATATTTTATTTTACTTCTCACATATTTAACAAAAGGTATAATACACACCGTACACAATTTCTGCTAAAAACTCGATCAGTTAATCACAGGGGAATTTGGTTATTACAGATAAGTGGGATGTTTTTTGTTATTTTAGTCTAAATTCATGAGAGTTTTCGTAATTTACCCATTAATAAATTGATTCTCTCCTTTTTTTGAAAAAAAAAATTAATATGAGAATAAGTCCATTGGATTTCTCAATATTATACAATACTAAGAAAAAATTGTTTGATATATGTAATATTAATCTTAGCTACTCACTTCAATTACTCACTATAAGAACACTCTTTAAATTCTAGTTAAATAGTATATTAGTTTAAAATATTTAACAATGATAATTCTCTACTATGTCATATGAAACAAGTATCAATACTAAGTATACAAACAAATAAGATTAATTTATTGAAATCTAGGAAAAAAATGTTATATTTTTTTTGTTTTTTTAGATAGTATTTGATTATATTGGGGTTCGATTTGAATTCTATATCATAATTCACTCATCCGATTGAATAGGTCCGATCGCGACCCGTCGTTTATCCTGTCTGGGTCTCATGAGTTGTAGACATCAAATTTGTTGATGCAACGTAATTTTGATTCCCAACTTCAATTCAAAAACCGTCAATTGTTTAAGGCGCTTTGAGTTTGACCCGACATCGATGCACTGACGTTAGGTCAAACTCAACACACACGAACTGTTGAAAACGTCAAAGGTCAGTTGGTAGATAATTACCTGATTAACTTTTGAGAAAACCGAAAACTTCAAACCAACTCGTAGGTGAGTTAAAATAATCGGGCTGATTCTATAAGTCGGTTCACTCAATAGAATCGACCCATGCCCACCCATACGTAAGATGCGACATTTTCTTGATGTAGATTATTCTCCGAAAAATGTTGATTTTCCCATGTGACAGAAAAAATGCAATTTATTGTATACCAATTAATTACATGAATGGACAAGACATCATATGAGTAGTTAAAATCAAGCTGAAGTTAAACGGAACATTGTTAAAGAGCTTAATCTTCATTTGCACTAAAAATATATGAAGTCGAAGAGAGAATTTGAAAAAAAAATAAAAAAAATAAACAGAGTCGAATTCACCTTAATAATATTAATTACAGTAGAATTAAGCAATGTGTGACAAGTTCGACCTGAAAATAATAGATATTACTTTAACAACTAAGCCATCCTACGAACATTCAATTAATGAAACGTGTGTAAAAGGAATAGATACACCCCTCCATCAAACCTATCGGGCCAAGAAATGTGGGCCCTGGAGACGAGAGATTTCGTTTTTTTGTGCAAAGAATAGATACACAAGCAATGCAATATATAGTAAAATATTTTAGAAGTGGTAAAATATGTTAGAATCTTTTTCACCAATATTGGTGGCATGGACAGCTGGCAAAGATTAAGCTCATTAAATTTGGTTTTAAAAGCTCATTAATCACATAGACCCCAAACCTTGTTGGACCATAAATTATTAGCTGTATAAGAACTTTCTAGTTGAGTAGTATTTTCGTGGTTGTTTTCAGCATCTCACTCATTTATGGCTCTTTTTTATTTTATGAAAGTTTGATTTATTTGAATAGTTTATGTTTACGCGGCTAATATTGATTTGATATTTTGCTTCATTCAGAATCGAGATTGGTGGTATAATAATATGAATAAATTACGGTCATCCTCTGAAGTAAGGCTAAATTACAAGAAAGAGAATCATCATGTTTTAGTAATCACAACCACCTTATTCAACTATGAATCTTCTTATATGTAATTGCCACATCAGTGGTGTCTCTAATGGTACATTGGACAATTTAAATTTGTGAGGGGAATTATTTTAAATGGAAAGGGGTCTTCTCAATTTTTTTTAAAAAGAAGGGGGTCATCTCGTACATGAATTTACCAAATGAGGGGGGTTTTGCTGATTTTCCTCATTGTGAATTGCTAAAATAATTTGTGTTATTAATATGGGTAAATAACATTAAACCACCTAAACTTTTTACGTTTTTGCGGATCACCACCTGAACAATTTTTTTTTGCAAGAGTTTACCTGTACTCAATTAATTGTGCCACTTTGCTATTTTTTGCCTGTTTTCAGGTCAAAATGACCGGCTCTCAGCCCATGTGCGTTGCACATGACAAATTCAAGGCTATTGACGTCTTTTCCATTTTTAAAATGGAATAAATGTTAATTCTTTTAATTTTTTTATTTTTTATTTTTATTTGTCTTTATTGTCGTTTTTTCCATTTTTTTATTGCTGCTACTTTATTTTTCTTAATCATCATCATTCTCATCAGATCAACAACAAAAACGACGTCACTCGCCGGCAATTAGCACAAATTTCACACAGCTCCTCTACATGAACCCATCAAGGCCAGCGGCGTAGGCGGCGGCAGATCATATCCAACCACCCACCCTACACACCCCACTCAACACTTTCATCAACCATTTCTCTCATGTTGCAGCCGTTCCGCCGCTCACCACCAGGAACCAACTCTCCCTCTCGCCCAACCACCAAGCTCATCACCACCACCACATCTTCTTCAGATCCGCCGCCCTCAACCCCAAGCGAAACTTTTCGACAATGGACACAATATATTCTAAAGTTTGTATTTTGAACACATTTAATCACAACTCATTTTGATTGACTGAAATTGAACCTAAAATTAGGTAAATAAAATGTTCATTTAATTTCCCCCTTTCCCCAATTCAGGTTATATGAACATTATTTTCTTTCGATTTCTTTCTCCGAATCGACTAAATCTTCTTCCAACAAATGGAGGATTAATTAGATGATCTTCTCACAATTGAAGCTTTCCCATGCCGCGGCGGAGGTGTGCGGCGTTGGGCGGTGAGATAGGATGTGCGGCGGTGAGGTGAGCGGTGGGTGGTGAAATTGGTGCGACAGGAGTGGTCATCTTTGGAATTGCAGAGGCAAGAAAAAAGTACAATGGCTTCTCAAAATCCAGGGATGAACCGCTGGGAAAAAGATGAAATTTTTATTTTTCTTTTTCTTTTTTCTTATTATTCTATTAAAGAAAATTCCACTTCAAAAAAGAAAAAGAAAAACATTTATTCCATTTTAAAAATAGAAAAGACGTCAATAGCCTTGGATTTGTCATGTGCAACGCACATGGGCTGAGAGCCGGTCATTTTGACCTGAAAACAGGCAAAAAATGGCAAAGTGGCACAATTAATTCAGTACAGGTAAACCCTTGCCAAAAAAAATTGTTCAGGTGGTGATCCGCAAAAACGTAAAAAGTTTAGGTGGTTTAATGCTATTTACCCTATTAATATTATCAAGTTAATTCTCCAATAATGCATTTTTTGACATATGTATATGAGACAATCCCTAAATGGAGAATTTTAGGGGGTTTACTAAAATAATTGAATCATACTAGTTTTGATATTCAAAATAACACGAAAAGTCTTTTTAATAATTTGGGTCAAAAGTAAATAATAAAGCTTGAAATATTGGGAGAAAGATGTGAGTCTCCTAACTTTGGCCAATGGAGTGACAAATTGTAGATTATGTAAATTGAACCATCATATATTCTGCAAATTGCTAGTGCCCCACTAACACAATATCATCCCATGGTCTTCACTCTTCACCATTGAGCTGTACTGAACATAATGCTAAAATATTGGTTACTAGCTATATCGCGTGATTAGGGATGGCAACGGGTAAGTTTTCAATAGGGTTTGTCTAAACTCGAGACATGCCCACGAAAATATATAAAACTCAAACACGATACAATCCGTTTTAGCTTAGACCCAGACCCACCCCGACCATACCCAAATTAAACGGTTATGACATGCCAGACCCGTTAACGTCGTCATACAAAAAGTTTAATATTTTTTAACTTTCATAATATTTTGTTTGTATAATTTAACAAAATAAATCTCGAATTAAAATTAAATATTTTAAAAATTCTCTATATAAATGCTATAAAGTGAATAATAAAATTATATAATTAATTAAATTTAACTTCTATAATAAAGAAAGTTCAAAAGGTAAGACAACTAGCGATGGTCGACAAGTAATAGGTACGACTTACGAGAATAGACACTATGGAAGTTGAAAGTTTGATAAATCAAATACTAAATTTGTGTGTGTGTGTGTCTGTGTCTATATATATATATATATATATATATATATATATATATATATATATATATATATATATATATATATATATATATATTATTAAAGATAATATATTTATATTTATATGGGTCGATTCTGAGCTAATAAGACTCGTAACCTGACCTAGAACTAGAACCATCCAGTTCTAAAAATTCAAACTCATTATCCGGATCCATAACCATTTAGGTTATCTGGATCCACCCCAAACAGGTCGATTCCAAAGTCTCAGACCCACCAAACCCGTACAATTATCATCCCTACATGTGATCAATATTGAAACTTAAGTAGCTAGCTCCCAAGAGACTTAAGAAAGGCATTGGTAAGTACCATAAACCCCCTCAATTTATTTTCCCAACTCCCTCAAACCCCACCTATCTCTATCACTTTGATATTCACATTTCCCATCAAAACCATATAAGCCATGGAGGGAATCTCCCACACCCTTGTCTCTCTCCCCTCCACAACTCCTCTTTCTCTTACTTAAAAACTCTCTCTCTCTCTCTCTCTCTCTCTCTCTCTCTCTCTCTCTCTCTCTCTCTCTCTCTCTCTCTCTCTCTCTCTCTCTCTCTCTCTCTCTCTCTCTCTCTAAGATATGGAGCACTACTATTTCAAACTATTTGTGTGCATTTTGGTGGTTTTATTTGGTATTGCAAAATGTGACATAGAGAAAGATAAGGAAAAATGTGCAAATGAGTTGTTAGGAATATCAACTTGCCTTCCCTATGTAGGTGGGGAGGCCAAGGCCCCTTCAATGGATTGTTGCACTGGTTTTAAACAAGTGTTGAGGGACAACATTGAGTGCATATGCATATTGATTAAGGATAGAGATGATCCAAGTCTTGGCCTTAAAATTAACGCGACTCTTGCACTCGGTCTTCCCACTCGTTGTCACGCGCCCACTAATCAAACCGTGCAAGACTGCCCCGGTGAGTATTATATATACATACGTATATTGGTCGTCATTTTATTTTTTTTATTGTCACTATATATATTGAATTGGTGATATAACATTAACTATGTCGACAATTTTGTGACAGAAAATTTAATAATTCATGGTAATACATGTTTTCACTCGATATCATCATTTAATTTGTTATATTTAGGTCGTTATTAATTCATTTTTCGTTGCGAGACCATTTTTTTTGCCATCTTATTAATGTAAAATAGTGATACGGTTATGGTTATAATATTATAGCAAAAATTATTGATATATACTCTAAATTTTGTTTATTGATATATAATTGTTACTCTGGTGTAACACAACAGTAGGTGGTTCCGAATCTTAGATTTATATAAATAACTACTCACTAAGCACACATACAGATCGGTATGGGCATTATTATGTCTAAATCAATAATTCAAGATCAACCGGTGTATTCACCGGATGTAGCATCTATCAAACCCTAGTTCAAACACCTATAGTGATTTTTTTAACAACTCTTAAGAATATTGGCTATGTAAATTAAGCTAAATGGTGATGAAACCAACATTTTTGGGCAGTATGGGTAATAATCATAACAAAATTAAAATTAAGTGTCACTGGATCTGACTTCTGATCATAGAAATTTTAATCTTGTAATAATTTGTATCACTAACAAAACACATTGGATTAGAATTATTATTTATTATTTT